ACTTGTCTTTGGTTGTGGTATTCCAAATTTATCCTGTCATTGACGTGAATACATCTTGTACCTCGAAGTAGGTTTTTATAATATAATATGAAAGAGAATTTGTAAATTTTGGTGTAAGTCACCAATGTTCGCCAAAAAGGAAATGGTTTGTACAAACTGATAAGAGTGAATAGGAAAAAGCAAAAGAAATGAACCTGTAAAACCACTTTTACCCATCCCAAGTTTCATGATCTTTTTTGATGTGAGTGTATTCCAAAAAGTTAATGTTTTAGTGGGACAAATGTAACATTTTGTCATAAGGTCAGGTCAAAAGTCATCTGCTCCGGTTATTTACAAGCAGTTATTGCTTTCTTTGCGACATGATTATTTTTTTAACGAAAAAAAGGAAAAACGTAGCAATGAAGAATGTTAAATGACAAATCTAGAATATTACCCGCGACGTTTTATCCCAATACTGTTTCCCATTCTCAAATAAAAAGACAGTGTTTGGTAAATATATATCAAGTCATTGGCCTGTCTTCCGAAGGACTTGACTGAGAACTCCTCGTACTTTTTAATTTTTAAAGTCTTCTCTTGCAGCTAAAAGAAGAGCAATTTGTGTTCTCATGAAATATTTTTCCCTACATGATCCAGCTGATAAGGAAAGATCTCGTTCATTTGAGGGCACCGCCCTTCATAAAAAAGAGATGTACCCGATTGGATAAGTGTCGCTCTCGCCCCTGATTTGGGCGGATATTTCTTCACTAACAGTGAGTTCGGGCCGATTCAGATCATATACAAGTTTCACGCAGCTTGCCATGGCGATACCGATGGAGTTCTCAGTGGGTTAAAAAATATTCACGGTGAACTGAAAATTCTGTCTTTTATGTGATTTTTTCTTTGTCATAACTGAAACCTTCCCTTCCATCTACATTGTATGATTCAAGGAAATTCACCAAAAATTATTTTGGTTCTAGGGCTGCTTGAACGAACTATTCAGAATCTTCAGCGGATGCAACTCTCCGCAAGCACGGTTAACAACAGCACTACCTTGACAGAAGAGTTAACGACGATTGTATCAGATAAGGGCCTCAGAATTTCTGACAATCAAGGGTCAGGAAACTGTATGTTCCATGCCTTGTCAGAACAACTAGAAATCGTAAAAGGAATCAAAATCCAACATGGCCAGTTGAGACAGTCTTTAGTTCAGTACCTCATGGAAAACCCAAAACTGGTGAGTTGCTGTAATTCTCATAAATAAAAAGAACTAGAGGTTGATCAGTAGTTTTGGCTACTGTGTTTCTTTCTCTCTCCGTTACTTGAAGTGCTACTCGTCCTTGCAAGGATACTAGTCCCTTTCACACCAGATTTCTTCAAGCATTTTTTGAGGTTGGCCTGACAATTGTTCCACAACTTTTCCACTCGTGGAGAGAGGCACTTTGACAGTGAGGTGTCTTCTCCTAAAGCACGATAATAAAGTCACTCTAAATAGGATTTTGTCGAAAGCTGTTATAGTGGATTTCAGTACCTCAAGCGGTAGGCAACGTAGTCTCTGCTCACTTTCTCATCTAATTCAAATGGACTCTCTGGTAGAGTGTTGTACTTAGTTATGTAAGTCGCAAGCTTCGAAAAATATTTATTTCAGAATCAATTCAGCATCAATGAGCTACCGTCAGTTTAGCATGGCTCTGAATAAGGCGAAATGTGTTTTGAAGTCCTTCATACTAGTCTAAAAGATGTTCTTCCTACACAGAATGTTTTGGTTTTCTCTATTTATTG